TTGAACCCGGGAGGCAGAGGTTGCAGTGAACCCAGACGGCACCACTGCACTCCAGCCTGGGCAACAAGAGCGAAACTCCATCGCAAAAAAAAAAAAAAAAAAAAATTCCCTGTTAAATTCCTGCTAAAAGCCAAGGATAGTTTGAGTAAGTCTTGAACTTTACAGTTTTAAAATGAGCACCTACATAAAAAAACTTTTAAACTTTATTGTTAAGCAGTTTTCCCAACCATTAAAAAAAAAAAATTCAGATCATGCATAAGTTAACACCTAAGCAGAAGAGATAAACTGTATTTCCTGCTGTAGACCAGTCTCTCACATTCTGAATCTGCACAGGCAGTCAGGCCTTCTAGCTGAAATACTGACAGTCAGAAGAACAATAAAAACACAGCCATGTTTCAAAAGTAAACTTTAACTTCAAGCTCTTATGCAACTTAACTAAAAGATTTAACCTTTCAAACCACACGCACACGTCTTAAACAGTTTATGTGTTATGAAACACATTAAGAAAAAGCTGTTAAAAAAACAACGAAATTGTTAAAAATGCACAATTTCTATTTTCTAAGCACCGATCCTCCACTGCCTGAATTTAGCACTTTTCCAAGAAAACAGGCCCCCTGCACAGAAAACCTAAATTATATTATTATAATATTATTATAATATAATAATATAATAAGGATAAATTACATTATCCTTATCACCATAAAACCTAACAAAGAGGACAATACCAATTGGGATATTCAAAGCTTCAAACTTTTATGGAATTCAATGCTTCCAAAAATAACTGGTATCAGCCATAAACAGGAATGAAGTATCAATACATGTTGCAACACAGATGAACTTTAAGCATTACGTTAAGTGAAAGCTGGTACAAATGGCCGTATGTTGTACAATTCCATTTACATGAAATATCCACAATAGGCAAATCTATGCCGACAGAACACGGATTAGTAGTTGCCAGGGGCTGGAGGGAGAAAAGTAAGGCAACTAACTTCTAATGAGGACCGGGTTTCCTTTTGGGGCGGTGAAAATCCAGAAGAATACGGTGGTGGTGGACGCAGAGCCTTGTGCATGCACTAGGAAGCACTGAATTGCACACCTTAACCTGATAAATTTAACGGTCCTGTGAATTAAATCTTCACATTCAAAAACTGTAATAGTAAAAAAATAGGCTGAGTGCAAATACCCCAACAATCTATTCCGGACCCTAGCAAAGCTGAGTTTATTCAGTCTCGGGTTGGTGTCCTTTTCCTTGCGTTAAGACCTCTTTTTTGAACCAGGAAGGAACATTTGGTTCCTCAGACCCGTAGAAGTAGCTTTAAGAGCTTGTCTTTCTCTAGTTGACTTTTAATCCCAATGGCAGAAGCTGAAACGTTTTTCGTATATTTTAACTGCACTTGGCACCCGTACATCTCTTTCCTCCTCCCTGTGCCCTTGACACGGCTACTCGTTAGGTGGTGATGAGCAAAGCTAACTCTTAGTGGGAGACACCAAGGACCAGAGAAGTTCTCCCAGCCTAGAGGGCGGGAAGAGCACTACACACCATTTCTCTAAATTCTCTAAACACTCAAGCCCCAAGCATCATATGTACAAGTAAATACCTTTAACACATCTCTTGGCTGACTTCTTGCTGCTGGCTTCTAACTCGATGCCAATTTCATCAGGATCTTGCCCCTCTTCTTTAACCGCCTATTAGGGACAGATGAGTTTTACAACATGATTAAGAGCTGCAGGGCACACACTGTTCCTTACAAGTAACAACCTCCCATGAAACAAAGGCAAACGCGTCCTTGTAGAGAGCAACCCCGGGTCAGCTATCTGGGCCGCAAGCCCAAAAGGCGGAGGAGGAATCCCGCACAGCTTGGATCTCTCTGGATCCAAATGACAAAGGAGAGGGAGGCTGCGAGCAGGAGCTCCAGAACTGGGGTCAAGGACCAGTTCCAAAACGGCAACTCAACTCGACACTGCCCAACCTTCGACTTTAAAGTTATGTGATGGGACAAATCAGAACAGAGAGGCTGCACTTGGCCCGCCTCGGTGAAGGGCTGGCCACCGCTGGTGAGGAGGAACAGTAGCCACCCTGGGGAGATTCAACAGGTCCCTCAGTGCCTGCCACCTGCCGGGTCCAGGACTGGGCACCCACAAGCTCCCTCCCTATGCTGAAGGAGTTTCTTCCAGTTGCGGAGACAGACAATCCCCAACCACTTAATATCTTGCATTTAGCCCCTGCATTCAGCGAGGTACGACATAAACGCAGAATGAGCTGGCAAGGAGGTGGGGCGGCCCATTAGGGAGGGCGCTCAGGAAGGTGATGTCTCAGGCACACCCGAAATGACAAGGGGCCGGCCACGAGATCTGGGGGACACGGGTGGACAGCTTCGTAAATGCTAAGGCCCTGGGGCAAGAACAAGCACCGCCCCCTTTCCTGTAAAAGCTCAGGAGTCCGCCAGACACCCATTCTCCGGAGAAGGAAACTGAGGCACAGAGAGAAAAGCACCTGCCCAAGGTCACAGAGCCAAGGCTCGAAAGGGAGCCCCAGGAGGGGTCACGGGGCCACCCTGGTAGCCGAGAAGACCGGACGCTGAGCGCGCTTAAAGAGAAAAGGTGGAAGGAGAATAGGAAGGAAGGCACAGAGAGGGGCGGTAACGGGCCAAGGTCACACAGCCGGCCCCCTGGGTGCCCGACACCTCGAGTCGGGGTCGGCCAAGACGCGGGTCGGGCCCGGGGCGCCCCGGGTCCGGGAGCCGCGGTGACAGGCACTGGCGGGGGCGTGCCCAAGCCTCCTGCGCCACCCCCGAGCCCCGCGCCGCCTCACCTTCTTGAGCCGCTCCATCAGGACGCTCTTGTTGCCGCCCGTGTCTAGGTTCCGCTTCTTCAGCTCCGCCCGCAGATCGATCACCCGCAGCTCGCTGAGTCGCCTCGTCCCAGTCTCCGCAACGCCCGGGCCGAGAGCAGCCGTGCCAGGGCCCGAGTCGCCCGACCCGGGCAGAGTCTCCGCCATCGTCACGTTCCCGTCTCCGCCACCGACTCAGCCGCACACCGCCGGCAGCTGGAGCGGCTCTGAACACAAAATGGCGCCGCCTAAGAGGAAAACGCACTCGTTTCCTCCCGCCCCGCTTTGCGGCCGCGCACGCGCACGCGCACCGCCTTACGAGCGCACTTAGCAGCAAGGACGCTCGCGCGTCGACCAACCGCGCGTTCACCGGCACCACGCGCAGGCGCCGAATCTGCAGCTCGCATGCGTCCCGGCAGTTCCCGGCGGGAGGCTGGAGAGACGCAACGCGACTGCGCACATCCCCGCGTTGTTCTCACTGCGCATGTGCAGTTGCAACCGGGATAGTCCAGCTTGCGCTTGGTGCGCCTGCGCAGAAGCGAGGCGCGCCGGGGCGACTGGAGCGGTTCCCTCGCAGGCGGCGCCATTTTGTGCTAGGAGCCTGATAAAACCGGCCCGGTTCTGTGGAAAGTGGGCGGCGGAGCCAGGGTCCCTGGAATGGCGGAGACTCTGTCAGGCCTAGGAGATTCTGGAGCGGCGGGCGCGGCGGCTCTGAGCTCCGCCTCGTCAGAGACCGGAACGCGGCGCCTCAGCGACCTGCGAGTGATCGATCTGCGGGCGGAGCTGAGGAAACGGAATGTGGACTCGAGCGGCAACAAGAGCGTTTTGATGGAGCGGCTGAAGAAGGTGGATTTGGGGCCCCGAGGGGCGGGCACAGGGTGGGTTTGGGATCCTCTTGGCCGCGACGGTGGCTCGCGGGCCCTGGCGTCCGCCCCCGGCCCCGTTCGCGGCCTCCCCGGACCTGGTGTTCTCGCGTCCCCCGGCTCTTCCCAGGCCCCGGCGAGAGTTCCTTGGCCGGCTGGGCCTGGGTTCAAATAGTAACGCCGCATTGGGGCCGGGAGAAGCAGAAAAACGGCGCGCGTGCAGGAGAAGCGGTGACGGGTGACATCGTCCCCCTAGAGGAGGGTTCTCCCCTCGTCTCGTCCCCGCCTCCGTACCTGGAGGGGAGACCCTGAAACGTTCACTTCCTAGGCGAGGGGAAGGGACTCGGCCAAGGTCACACGGCCGAGGACGGGCGGCGTCGGGATTTGAACCCAGGCCGTGGGATTCCTGGGCCTGCTGCTTGGTTTCCCCTGGGAAGAGATTTTGTGACCCACGGGGGACCGACCAGCCTGAATCGGGGCAGATTTTCAAAGGAGACACCCGTAGGACATACTCAAAGAGAAAAATAGGAAAAACGACCACAACCCCGTTTTCCCGTTTTGCCGGTACTCGCGCGGTGCAGTAACAGGGCAGGAAGGAAAAGTGGGATTGACGATAGCGACCCGAAATGTGAAATGAGGGGAGACCCGGGGTGGACTTTAAAACCAGCCTCAGAACTGCCCGGGAGGCGGGCAGAGCCTGGGCTTCCCCTGGTCCATCAGTCTCTCTGGACTCGGGAACCCTGCCAGCTCTCCGTGGCCTGATCTTGGGCGTAGAAGACCTTGAACCCCTTCTGAGTCCTTTTTATTCTATTTATTTATTTTTTCTCTCTCTCTGTAAGAAGAAAAAAAGCAATAGGACTTTGGTTTGGGGATTAAATAAGGTTGCGTGGAGCAGGCTTGGCGTGCTGCCTGGCGCATGTAAACACTTCGGTGTGTGGTTGCCGTCACGATTCCCTTCTCCTCTCTGTGCCACCACGAGTCCTCATTTGCAGATCGGGGGCTCTAACGCCTACCTTGGGGGATTCAAAGGGATCCCTTGGAAAAGCAGAGAGTCAAGTAAAGGTTAGCCGCCTGCGGTTTCCTTATTCCTGTCGGTTTCTTTCTCTGCATTCCTTCCACCTGGCTACTCTGGGACCTCTCTCCCCTGTAGTCGCTCCGCCTGGCCGCCCACCCTCCCAGGCCCTGCAGGCAGTGGGGCTGGTGACGACATTCCACCATCCTGGCTCCGGAACTACGGAGATCGCAGGGCTTTATTATTAATTGGTGATGAGAAGTAGGGATTTTTTTTTTTTTTTTTTTTTTCCTGATGAGAAACCCTGGGCTCGAATGGATAGTTGTCTTGGCCAGAGTCACATGGGCCTTTTAAAAGCTCAAACTTGGGTTTCTTTTCACTGTGGATTCTTTCTTTACTCAGACAAGGCAGGAAGTTCATTGATCTACATATTTACCCAGAGAAAATGCAGACAGTGGAGATTGGCGGCCTCCCATCAGCTAAGCCAAATTAAGAGGCTTTATCCTTTTTTTCTCCCCGGACGGTCCATAGGCCTGAAAAGCTGCTGTGATGGCACTGAACCTTCCTGTCAAGCTGGTAACTGAGACTTCCCATCACTCACTGTCATCTCTGAGAGCACAGATTTGTTCCTTCTTCCTTCTCCTTTTCATTTTCTTCAAGATGTGGTCCCAAAACACGAATACTGCCAGCCCATATCCCTGTCTACTACTCACCCAAGCTAGTCTGGAGTTTTCTGATCTCGTTCTCTTCCCGTTTCTGTCATCCTGTTGTTGTCCCTTTCTTGGTTTATTTTTCCAGGAAGGGCAAAAGAGCAAAAGGGGGAAACGAAACACCTGCCTAGGGCATTGCTTCTCTTTTCCTAGTGGTGTTTCAGAATTGCCTGTCCCCGGGAAAAGGGTGAGGGACTTGGTGATTGTACTTTTCCTTAATCCCAGAAAAGAACTTCAGTCCCTTTTCTGGCTTCTGAGAGGAGAGATTTTTGTTGCTGCTGGTAAAGATGAGTTGTGGAATCCCCAGGCCCTATCTCAATTCAGACTTACCCACCTGGGAAACTTCGAGGGTTCCAAACCTCTGCAAATAAAACAGTACATGAAATGATGTGAACAAAACTTGTGCTCATGGGACAGGAGAGTAAAGACTGGAAAAGTTATCAGTAAAACTTACCCTGAAGCTAAGTTTCTAGCAATGTCATCATGATTGACGTGTTCTGTACTGATGGCTTAGTTGATGCCAGGCACTGTGCTGAGGATGGGCATTGTTGAAGTGAATGACAGAGTCCTGGGGTGGGAGGCTGGGCGTGCCAAGAAATTGTTAATATCTGATGAGGCACAATCACGTAGTGGTTGAGAATGAGGTATTGGAGTCAGTCGTGAATGTACATGACGGGGATCGGATAAGGTCATGCATGTCGTGACTGGTCTCGTGTGTAACACACAGTAGGATCCCAACCAGTGAGTGTTAGTATTCCATCCACACAGTACTGAGTACAGGCACGGCGTGGAGGGAGTCCCTGGAGGGTTAAAGAGTATTTTGTGAGTAAAGTCAGAAGAAATTGGAGAGTGTGCCTTTCCCTTTTTGAGTTCTTCTGGGCTTAGGAAGAAGATGAACCAGATAAGCCTACTGTTTGTTGAGTGCTTCCTTTTCATGGCTAATAGAATCCTCACAACAGTCTTCCAGGGTAAGTACTATATTATTATTAGCCGCATGTTCCGGAGGAAGAAGCAAAAACTGAGCACCTAAGTAAACCCGCCTGGGTCCACCCAGCTAAGAACTGGTGGTGTCAGTCGGTCTCCAGTGTAGAGCAAGATAACAGATGAGTGGATGGGCCACAGGCCCTGGGCGGTGAGGGCGGCAGCAGCTTTTTGATCTTAAAAATACAGTTTCCTTGTCACCTGAAGGCTCTCTGAAAGCAGTGTGTGTGCTGGCTTTTTGGATCAACTTTACTTTTCCCTTCTTTTTAGGCAATTGAAGATGAAGGTGGTAATCCTGACGAAATTGAAATTACCTCCGACGGAAACAAGAAAACATCGAAGAGGTCCAGCAAAGGTATGGAGGATTTCATAAGCAAGTTTCATGTTAAGTGCTTTCTTCAAAACAAATTCATTGCTAATGTGCCTCATGTACTTGTCTGTGCATTGGCCTTGTGAACCACTCTGAACCGGGAGCCTTCAGCGAAGCTTTGCATTTTCTTTAAAGATCTCTCTACTGTGTTTTGTTTCCTTGGTATCTGGGAATTACAACAGGATGGAAGGAGTATTTGCCCTTTATTCATTTTCCTCTGTAGATTGTCAGCAGTCCTTAAGTAAGGAGTGTTTCAGGAGTCAGTCACAGTGGCGTGTGCCTGTAATCCCAGGCGACTCGGGGCTGTGGTAGGAGGATCACATGAGCCTGGGAGTTCAAGACCAGCCTGGGCAACATAGCAAAACCCAACTCTACAAAAAAAACTTTTAAAAGGCCAGGTGTGGTGGCATGCATCTGTGGTCCCAGCTGCTTGGGAGGCTGAGCCGGGAGGATTACCTGACCCCCAGGAGGTTGAGATCAACTTGGGCAACACAGGGAGACCCCCATCTCCACCAAAAAGAAATTAACCAGGCATGATGGCATGCACCTGTGGTCCCAGGTACTTGGGAGTTTCAGGAGGGGGATCACTTGAGCCCAGGAGCTCAAGCCTGCAGTGACCTATGATTGCACCACTGCACTCCAGCCTGGGTGACAGAGCAAGACCCAGTCTCTTTAAAAAAAAAAAAAAAAAAAAAATGCTGGGCACAGTGGCTCACACCTGTAATCCCAACACTTTGGGAACCCAAGGCAGGAGAATAGTTTCAATCTAGGAGTTTGAGACTAGCCTGGCCTGCCTCTATCCACCGCCAAAAAAAAGTAACTAGGCATCGAGACATGCCTGTTTTCCTAGCTACTTGGGAGGCTGAGGCAGGAGGATCATTTGAACCCAGGAGTTCAAGGCTGCACTGAGCTGTTATGGCACCACTGAACTCCAACCTGGAGTCCACGAAGTATTTAGGACTGCCCGAGCCTCCTGTTGCTTGGACTTGTAGAAAGTAACATTCCTTTTAAATATCACTTGACTCAAACAGAACTGTCACTTTAACATTTCTTTTAAAAACTGCTTATACAGTAAAAGTTACATTTCACATGACATGACTCTCACCATCTTACCCAGATCTCTCTCGCCCATCCCCCACACCCTGTGCTTTGTTTGTGTGTCAGGCCCCAAACAAATGATTTACTCTCCTAGTTCTCTGTGACGTCGCTCTGCCCACCCTTCCCCATCTGTCTGCGTTAGAGACCTAGTTCCTCAAAAGACAACTGATCCATCCCACCAATAGCAGCTCGTCTCCTTGGGTTCTCTGTCTTCCCGTGGCATAGTTCCTTATACCTTGGTTTAATATTTATGTCATCTTGCCTTCTGTCAAGACCAGATTGTTGAGGACTAGGGCTGTATCTTGTTTATGTTTCTTTCCCCTGCAATGGTTTAACTTGGTAACACTCAACTAATGGCTTAAGAATCAGCCAAGGTAGGGCGCCATGGCTCACGCCTGTAATCCCGGCACTTTGGGAGGCTGAGGCGGGCTGATCACCTGAGATCAGGAGTTCGAGACCAGCCTGGCCAACATGATGAAACCTCGTCTCTACTAAAAATATAAAAATTAGCCGGGCATGGTGGCGGGCACCTGTAATTTACCCCAGCTACTCGGGAGGTTGAGGCAGGAGAATTGCTTGAACCCGGGAGGCGGAGGTTGCAGTGAGCCCAGATCATGCCAGTGCACTCCAGCCTGGGGGACAGCAAGACTTCATCCCCACAAAAAAAAGAATCAGCTGAAGTTGGGCTTGTGGACCGAATGTTCTCTTGGTTCATGTAGAGTTTTCCCTATCTGAAATGCTTGTGACCAGAAGGGTTTCGTTTTTTGGATTTTGTGCAGTATTTTCATACGCATAATGAGATAATCTTGGGATTGGGACCCAAATCTAAACAAAAAATTTGTTCTATATTGGAAGATAATTTTATACCATATTTTTTATAATTTTGTGCATGAAACAAAGCTTTCGCTAACGTTTTGACTGCAACCCACCGCACATCAGGTGTGGAATTTGCTATTTGTGGCGATACGTCAGTGCTCAGAAGATTTCAGAGTTTCAGATAGGGATGCCCAACCTGTAATTGAAGGCCTGGTTCTTAGGGCCCAAAACTAAATGGGATCATAACTAATACTTGGTGGTGAAGTATTGAGTTTAAATATCTGAGAGGCGGGCCTCAGTGTCAGCCACAGTGTTTGGGGTAAGCGCTGGAGAACAGCAGAACGAAGTCACTTCTGTGGCTCATGATATATTGCATGTTTTTGCCCTTACTCAAGTAAACTTCTGCCAAGGGAAAGAGTCCTAGAAAATCAATGGGGAAAGAAATCGTAATAGGAAAAAATAGAGCCTGTGGATCTCTTTTGTTTTCCTTTTTCTTCTGATAAACGCAAGTACTTGTACTACAGGCTTTTGTTGCTCTTTTTGTTTTGTTTTTGAGATGGGTTCTCACTCTGTCCCTCAGATGGAGTGTAGTGGCGCAGTCATGGTTCACTGCAGCCTTTAACTCCTGGGCTCAAGCAGTGCTTCCACCTCAGTCCCTTAAAGCGTTTAGATTTCAGGTGTGAGCCACTCTGCCCGCCAGGTTTTGAAATACATGCATGGGAGTAAAAAGCAGAAGTTTCTTCACAGTCAGGGAACAGCCCACTACTAAAAGTTAGGCATACTTCTCCAGACTTTGTGTGTATGTATAATGTTTAAAAGTAAACTTAGGTCTGGGTTACAGAGCAAGACCCTGTGTCTAGAAAAACAAAAAATTAAAAGTCAGTGAGCCGGGCATGGTGGCACACACCTGTAGTCCTAGCTGCTAGGGAGGCCAAGGTGGGAGGATTGCTTAAGCCCAAGAGGTCAAGGCTGCAGTGAGTTGTGAGTGTGCTTCTATGCTCCAACTTGGGCACAGAGTGAGAAAGGAAAAAAGTAAAGATAAGGGTATATACACACACCTGTATGCATATATTTTTCTCATTAAAAAACCCCTGATCTTGCTGTACAAAATCTCATAATAGCCTGCTGTAACAGGCTAATAATCTTCTGTATGAGTAAATATAAGGCAATTTAGCCCATCAGTCTTTTTATTACTAGACGTTTGGAGATCTTTGTTTCCAATTAGCACTTGGTACTTCCAGTGTTCAGTGTTTGCACAAACCAGAGATAAATACCTTTGTGTGGTCAAAGTAATATAATTTTTGATAACTCAGTGAAAGGAAAATTCTAGAGTTCAAGGATATGGCCTTTTATTTTCACATAGCTAGTTTACAAATAGCTGTCCCAGCCAAACTCAGTGGCTCACGCCTGTAATCCCAGCACTTTGGGAGGCTGAGGTGGGCGGATCAAAAGATCAGCCTGGCCAACATGGTGAAACCCCGTCTCTACTAAAAATACAGAAATTCGCCAGGTGTGGTGGTGGGCGCCTATAATCCCAGCTACTCAGGTGGCTAAGGCAAGAGGATAGCTTGAACCTGGGAGGCTGAGGTTGCATTGAGCCGAGATAGTGCCACTGTGCTCCAGCCTGGGTGACAGAGTGAGGCTGTCTCAAAAAAAAAAAAAAAAACAAAAAACAAAAAACTGTCCCAACAGTGGGTGAGAGTGCCTATTTCACTCAACTCAACATCAAACTTACCTTGTTTGCCTGTTAAATAGAAGAAAAGTATTTCATTGTATTTATCTGCATTTTTCTGCAGGTGAGACTTTCATTTGCATTTCTTCACAGATTATACTGCTTCTGCTTCTGATAATTGGACATTTGTGTTGTCTGAATGGCCTTTTCATGCCCTTTGCCGATTTCTGTGCTGGGTTGTTTGTCTTATTGAGTTAAAAGGACTCTATATAAAATGTTCCTATTGTTTTAATCTGTCATTTGATTCGACTTGTGGTATTTTGATCACTAGGCTTCTAGATTTTATGTTGTGCTTTAAAAGGACTTCTTTGCTTTTAAATTATAAAAAATAGGACTCTAAGGCCAGGTGCGGTGGCTCATGCCTGTAATCCCAGCACTTTGGGAGGCCAAGGCGGGTGGGTCACCTGAGGTCAGGAGTTCAGCACCAGCCTGGTCAACATGGTGAAACCCCGTCTCTACTAAAAATAAAAAAATTGTCTGGGTGTGGTGGCTGGCACCTGTAATCCTAGCTACTTGGGAGGCTGAGGCAGGACAATCACCTGAACCCAGGAGGCAGAGGTTGCAGTGAGTCGCGATCACGCTGTTGCACTCCAGCCTGGGCAACGAGTGAAACTCCATCTAAAATATATATATATATAAAATACTGTGTTACATAGAGAGAGAATAAGATTTATGGTTTTATTTTTACATTTTACGTTTGGAGGTTTAATTCATTTAGAATGTATTTTGCATGTGGTGTGAGGTAGTAGGGATCAAAATATGAAACATTTAGCCTGGGTGCAGTGGCTTACACCTGTAATCCCAGCTCTTTGGGAGGCTGAGGTGGGCAGATCACCTGAGGTCAGGAGTTCAAGACCAGCCTGACCAACATGGTGAAATCCTGTTTCTACTAAAAATACAAAAATTAGCTGGGCATGGTGGCGGGTGCCTGTAATCCCAGTTACTGGGAGACTGAGGCAGGAGAATCGCTTGAGCCTGGGAGGCCGATGTTGCAGTGAGTTGAGATTATGCCAGTTTACTCCAGCCTGGGCAACAGTGCAAGACTCTGTCTCAAAGAAAAAAGAAAAGAAATATTTGTCATCAGAAAGATCACTTCTGCCCCTCCCCGTGCATCTCCCCTCCCCTGCAAAAATAAAAGTCGCTGTTGTGATTACTTTCACTGTTAGTTTTATCCGTTCTAGAACTTCATGTAAAATACTAGCAATACTAGCTCTTTTGTGTCTCATTTGTTGTTTTGTTTTGCTTCTTGTAATCAGTTTTATTCTAGAAATTTACAGTACATTTTGATATCTAATAAGGCAGGTCTATAAGTTTTCTTAATTATTTTCAACTACTTTCA